TCGCATGCGGTCTGGTTTTTTCCTCCTCTCCCCAGGAGGATGTTTCCTTTCCTGAGCTTTAACATCACCGGTCTCAACCCCACGGCCCACTACAACGTCTTCGTGGAGGTGGTGCTGGCGGACCCCAACCACTGGCGCTTCCAGGGGGGCAAGTGGGTCACCTGCGGCAAAGCCGACAACAACATGCAAGGTGAGCGTGGGGTCTCCCCGCGGGTCGCCTTCCCCGAAAGGGTTCCCGCTTCGACCTCTGCAGGGGCTTCCCCACCCCCGGTATCCTGCTGTGGGCAGAAAGATGTTTTTAAGGGCGTTTTGCAGCTTTTATTCCCCTCCCCTGCCCCGCCGCTGGCCGTGGCACACAGCGCCGGTGCCCGGTGGCCACTTCACCGGCTTCTCTTCCCCAGGCAACAAGGTGTACGTTCACCCCGAGTCGCCCAACACCGGGGCCCACTGGATGAGGCAGGAGATCTCCTTCGGGAAGCTGAAGCTAACGAACAACAAAGGTGCTAACAACAACAACGCGCAGGTAAACGGGGGTGGGGTGGAGGGGCGGGGGGGGACTTGGGATGGTGGGCTTGAGGGGCTCTTGATGGTGCAGCTGGGAGAGCCCTGGGGTTTTGGGGCTTTACAGCATTTATTTAATCAAGCTGCTTGATCGCTGTTCTCATGGCTTGTCCCCTCCTTTAACTGATTGTAGATCTTCTAATTGTTTTTATGAGGGGAGGCGATGTCAGAAATAGATGTGTGAATTTCTTTGGTTTTAGCCAATATCTCTATCTCCAGAGTTACTCAGAAAGTGGGAGTATAGCTGATAGCTCTTGATTTCTTGCATTTACAGGTTTTAGCATATTAGTAACGTAGTAAAACAGGGCTATGAGCTGTGAATAATCTCCTCTTAACAGTTAAGATTGCTCTGTTCCCAAGTCAAAAGATTACAATTTATAGTAAGAAAATGTCAGGCTAATAAAATAGATCTTTTAATGTTAGACACAGTTTGTCTAAAGACCTTGCCTCTTCTGTGGTTCCTTCTAGATGATAGTACTGCAATCTCTACACAAGTACCAGCCCCGGCTTCACATTGTGGAAGTGACTGAGGATGGTGTTGAAGATCTGAATGATTCCTCAAAAACTCAAACATTTATTTTCCCTGAAACGCAGTTCATAGCAGTTACAGCATATCAAAACACTGATGTAAGTATTGATGTATAAAATGACAAATAAGAATAAAATTGTCTTGTAGGTTCAACATCTCACTGTACTATATTCTGCTTTCACTTTTAGATTACTCAGCTCAAAATAGATCATAATCCTTTTGCAAAAGGCTTCAGAGACAACTATGACTCGTAAGTACACTTCTGTCTTTTCTTCTATCTCGGAGGCATGATTCTGGCTGGAAATGTGTGTGGAACAGTTTTTCTTTAGATGCCACTTTAGGTATTCAGAAGTAGTAAGACATTAAGTGTCTGTTTGACTAGTTACCATATTGTCTTGATGACCTGCCTTCTAGCAGGCTTCTGAATTTTGGTAGAAAATCTGTACTAGCAGAAGCTAGCTGGGCAGCAGATCGGCAGTAGTGTATCAAGTATCTTCACAGAGCCAGGCAGCTTCTTCAGATCATCAGCAGACTTGCCTAATGCTCTCTCCCTAGCACCAAATGGCCCCTGAAAAGCAGGAGCTGCATGTGATACAAGGACAGCTTCTGGGAGGAAAGTGCTGCACCCCACTTAGAATGAGTTGGCTGGCAGAGAACAGTGTATACTTGTTAGCAGCAGTGCTATAAATTTTTTACTGCTCTAGGAAAAACAATCTGAACTCCTAAATTGGATAAATCTAGTTGTGCTTCTAAGGAAAAACTCAGTTTCTTCCCATCTGTGTTTTTGTTTTACTATCATCCCAGGATCATGAATAACAACACTCAGTACTTCTCTTTTATGTTGTAGCATGTACACAGCTTCAGAAAATGACAGATTAACTCCATCTCCCACGGATTCTCCTAGATCCCACCAGATCGTCCCTGGTGCCCGATACAGCGTGCAACCATTCTTCCAAGAGCAGTTTGTCAACAACCTGCCCCCGGCCAGGTTTTACAACGGTGAGAGAACTGTCCCTCAGACAAATGGCTTGCTCTCCCCGCAGCAGAACGAAGAGGTGGCCAGCCCTCCTCAGCGGTGGTTTGTTACGCCTGTGCAGCAGCCCAGTGCCAGCAAACTGGACATGAACTCCTACGAGACGGAGTATTCTCCTAGCACCTTGCTCCCTTACGGCATTAAATCCCTCCCTCTTCAAACATCCCATGCTCTGGGGTACTACCCCGACCCGACATTTCCATCCATGGCAGGCTGGGGGAGCAGGGGCTCTTACCAGAGAAAAATGACAACAGGATTACCTTGGACCTCCAGAACGAGTCCTCCGGGTTTCTCTGAAGATCAGCTTTCCAAGGAGAAGGTGAAAGAAGAAATCGGCTCATCCTGGATAGAAACTCCACCCTCTATAAAGTCTCTAGATTCAAATGATTCTGGGGTCTACACGGGTGCTTGTAAGAGAAGACGGCTCTCCCCTAGCACTTCCAGCAATGAAAATTCCCCAACTATGAAATGCGAGGACATTAATGCTGAGGACTATAGCAAAGACACTTCAAAAGGCATGGGCTACTACGCATTCTATACTAGTTCTTAAAGCATCCTTTTATTCCAATTGGCTATTTTTTTTCAGGGTGGCCTTGGTTTTTTTGCATTACAATTGCCAAAAAGACTCTTGCCTTCCACCTTGAATTGTTGTGTGCAATTCTAAAGAAGGTGCCAAAGCTTTTTGACTGGTGCAGGTAATGAAGTAGGGAAAGAGCAAACTATGGTAGAATTCTTCCCCTCTTTTAGAAGGAACCACATGTGAAAGCTGTAAGCAGGAGTGTAGATTTTTACAATGTGGCTTATTTATTGGAGACACTAAAGTGTACAGTTTGGCTTGGCTCAGAAGCTTGATGAAATCTATGCACTCCTGAGCAATGAAATGGGGGGGTTGGATCCGAAATCTAATTTTCTTCCCTGCTTGCCCCTCTGATAAAAGGGGATGGGGTTGCAGGAAGCTGCACAAATGCTATGTTCTGCTTTAGACTGAGCTGGCTTCTTCAACCCTAATCTGTAGCACAGTTGGCCGAGTCGGATATTGCTCAGCTAAGGCTTTCTTTGGCAGAAAGGTGATGGCCAAAATAAGGCCTGCTTGCAAGGCAGGATTTTGACTTGAAGGTCTTGTGCTAATGATGGGGTTACAATGACCAAATCTGACTCTTAGTTTAGAACTTGCATTAAAAAATAAAAAGCCTCCATCCCAAAAGCCTAACCTTTATTGAGGTGGCCAAAAAAAAAAGTGTACAGTTGTGTTTTGTCTAGGTACACTGTAGAATATTGTGGAATAATGTATAAATAGTTGACCTCTAGCAGTTCAGTCAGAAGGACCTCCAGTGGTGCTTTGAAGTTCAAAAGGCTTTTTTTTTTTGGTTAATCAAACTTAGCATATGGAGCATTATGAAAATCATGAACAGATTTCTATATATGTGTATGTAAAGTGACTTTTTCAGCTGCCCTGTACAAAACTGGAAGTGATGTAATTTACCCACTCTTCTTGCCTATAGTTTCAGCCATTTTAAACTGATCAGCTCTAGCGCACTGGCACTCAAAACTCCTCCCAACAAAACTTGGTTCCGTTTTCTTTTTTCTATGTACATAGTAGTAATTTTTAATAAATGTTGTGGTGCCAGGGATAAGTGTGGGGGTGGCTCTCTGCCTCTTCTTTGCCTTTATCGGGTGTCCCAGTAGGGAGGGGAGGAGGGAGTGCAATCCCGGGGGGGGCTGAGTTGTCTCAAAATCCAGCCATCCCTTGTGAAGTTTCTCCTCGCTGCTTCATCCCTTGCACCGTGTTTATTTGGATGCCGCTATCTCTGTGCGCGGTGCTGGCAGGGTTTGGTTTTTTTATTTTAACATATCGTGGTTTGCTGCGGTTCTCCATCCTCCCCCAAGCTCTGAGACCCTGGCTCGGTCCAAAAATCCGACGATGCCTCTTCTTTTCCCCTGCCCCCCGCCCCCCTGCGGGGCTGGGGGAGGCGGAGGTGTGAGCTCAGAGCCCTCGGCCCGGGGAGCGACTTGTGAACGCGGCGGCTTCACCTCCCCCCGAGCAGCAGCGGGGCTGCCCCCGCCGCCCCCTCCGCTTCCCGGAACGAGGAGGGAGAGAAATTCCCCTCCTCGCTTATCTTGGGGAGAAAGCCCCTCCCGGCCGAGCCATCGAATCCCGGCTGCGGCGGCAGCGGGACCTTTCCTGAGGATATGCAGGCAGTAATGGGATTAAACTGTTAGCGGTGCCCGGCTGCAAACAAAATAAACCAGGGGCTCAGGCCGGGGCTCGCCCCGGAGGAGGTAACGCGATCGGGGGAGCACTAGGAGCTCCCCCCCGGCGGCTCCCCCCCCCTCCGGAGCGGAGAACGGCGGATTTCCGAGGAGATTTCGATCAGCTCTTTGCTTCTCGGTGCGAGGCTCCGGCTCTGCGCGTTGGCAAGCCAAGGAAACCGCTGTCCTACCGGCTGCCCCCCTGCAGAACCAGCCGCATCCCGTCTGGGACAGCAGGGGACTCGTGGTAATCTTTAAACTATTAGGGACGGGATATTTAATTTTTTTCCCCCTATTTTTTCTTCTAAAGGGGGGGGATACCCCTTTCCCGGACCCCCCCCCCCCCCCCC